GTCAGTCACGGCCTCGGCTTCAGCATCGCCTACGAGGAGCCGGAACAGAGAGGCCGCGGGTCAGACACGGCGGGCGGCCATACTGGAAACGGGCAAGGGCCGAGAACGCCAGGCGCGGGGCGGGACGTGGCCCTCAGCTCCTCCCTGGTCGCAGCGACACCTGGGCGGCCCCGTGGTCGGTACGTCCGCCCCACAATCTATGGGCCTGAACTCCTCGGCTCGCTTTTGAGAGCTCACGACTTCACTTGCCCGACGGGGCCGGGGAGGGTTAGGGAGCCCCAGTGCCACGCCGTCACCGCTGCCGGGCCGGGGAGGAAGAGGGAGGCGGACCCCGGCTGAGCCGCCAGGACTTATGATGGCGGCTCACGCTTCGCAAAGACAGTGACGGCGATCACTTGGAGCGGAGCAGCCACGGCGCGCAGACGCCATGGCGAGTGGGCGGGACCGGGGTGGGGCGGTGAGAACCGGCCACGCCTCCGACGCCGGGACGAACCTGGCGTTTTTCTGTACTGCGCTGCGAAAGTCTTCCAGAGGTCTGAGTACTCGTCCGAACTGTGGGGTGGAGCGGGGGAAGTGGATTCCTGTGATGCATGTTGGTCGTCTCTTGAACGCGAGAATTCCCCTCGTCTGATACAATTTAGAGGTGCACTCTGTCTTTACACCCTTCAAAACGTAGTACCCAGGGGGCGTCTCACGGAGTTCTTGTGCCCGCTTTGCCGCAGGAATCTCAGATGTGCAGGCAACAGCAGTGACCGGGCAGCAAGACTACTGTTTAGAAAAAATATCCGGTGGGTGCGCTCGCTTTTTCTGTCGTGGAATGATTCCTGAGACGTTTTTATTCATACATTCTCTGCAAAGGTCGGAATCAAACTCTGTCTCCTTTAGTCTTTAACAAAGCTATCTCACACCTCTTAGATGCCCGTCATCTCAGGCTGAGGGTCTTGATATGTGTTGCTAGTCTCTTCTCCAAGATTTAAATTAACCTCTGCGAAGGGTCACTGCTCATTTTATTAACTTCCCCATCTAGCTTAGACTCATTTTACTTTGCTCGGTTCTTTGTTGAGCAATTAAAGGGCCATGTTTGCCCGTAGTACTTTTTAGACAAACTAGATTGGAAAGTAAGGTTTCAAAAAGACTTAAAAAACATACCAAAATGCCATCTTCTGCAGTAGTCTTTCTTTTCCTAAAGGACCTTGCTGGGCCTGTTGGCACGTGCCTGTTATCCCAGTTACTCAGAGACCAAAGCAAGGGGACCACAAGCCCAAGGCCAGCCTGGGCAATCAATGTAAGGAGACCCTATCTCAAAATTTTAAAAAGTGAAAAGGGCTGTAGTTCAGCTCTCCCTGGGTTTAGTCTTCAGTGCCAGAAAACAAACAAAAGTGGCCTTGTCCTAATGATTTTAAAAAGTAATTTCATTTTTCTGAATATCAGTACCAAAATTGAATAATCAAATTTTGTTCTTTATGTAACTAACTTGGTTTTTGGTATGTGCCTGAGGCAAGAGATTTCTGGAAAGCTTTTAACTCAGTAGAAATTGAGCTCAAGGATAGGTAACTGAGCGCCTTGGCTGAGTCAAAGCTTAGCCTTCGGTGTGCAAGCAGTAATTCTACTCCATTGCCAGGTTCAAGGAAAACAAACCTTTCTAAACCATGAAATGCTCATGTTCTCTTAGGTGGGAATTAGCCACATCCCCATTAGCCTGAGGTTCAAGAGCACGATGGGAAATAACTTGCATATGTCTATAATTGGAGCTTAGACATACACAGGCATGTTTGAAGGGAGGTCAATTTCTCATGAAGCTAATGAGGCTTAGGCAGCCTGACTCCTCTCTTGCACAAGTTCTTCCCAAGGCCCTGCACTTAGTTGTGCATTTTAAAACTTGTGTTCTTGTTCTTAAAGCAGCCCTCCCAAAAGTTGCATAAGTTTTTAGGACCCAGCATTCCGGAACCTACCCCAGGGCCTAATGGCAACTGGTAACAGGAGAGATGATGACAAAAGTTTCTTCTAGGCAAGGATGAGACCACTGGGAGTAGGATACCAGAATAAAGGCAGACATGGCCTGACTAGAGAATTTGGTCACCTGGGTGTTGGAGAGTCACCCATCACCCACTCCCCCCAACACTCACGTCCCTTGGCATGAGCAGGGTTGTGAGTTAATACTGAAGGAACACTCACATCAAGGTTTTTCCTGCAACTCTAAATTGTAAACTTCCTGTTCACAACAGGTAATGGTACTTAGTTGGCATAATCAAGGAAACCTCATGAAGGCAGAGGTCTCAAAGTACCATCCCCAGCAGCAACAGCACCTGGGAATTTTTTAGAAAGGCAAATTAGCAGACCATATGGCAGGAATGTGGAGTTGGAAACTTGAGGCTGAGGTCCAGCAGTCAGTGTTTTAACAGTTCATTTGGGTGATTGTGATACATGCTCAAGATTGAAGACTGTTTCACTCAGTTGATCTCTACAGGAGCTTCAAATTATTGACACTTTTTATATTCCATTCACGTTTCTTTCTACTCAGATTTTTAAAAATTTGAGACAGGGTCTTGCTAAGTCACTAAGTTGCCCTGGCTGGGCTTGAATTTATGATCCTCCTGCCTCAGCCTCATAGAGTGCTAGGATCAGATATATTTCAACTCTTAAATTCTAGCCTTCCTTTATTATCTATATGATGCTGGGCAAATTACTAGAACTTTCTGGCCTCCATTTCCTTATCTGTAAAATAAATGTTATAACTAATAAATTTGGAGATATGAAGCAAGATATTGTAAAGCATATTGAATAGTATCTGGTTCATGGCAAAATTTGTCAAAATAATTAGTGTTGGGCTGGGGATATAGCTCAGCAGAGGAGTACTTGCCTATTATAGTGGGTTCAATACCCAACACTGCAAAGTAATAATTATTGAGTATTTATTTTTTTCTTTTAGGGTGTGTGTTTTTCTTCTTTTGAGGGGGAACAGGGTCTTGATATGTAGTTCAGGCTAGTCTTGAACTCACTGTATAGCTCAGAATCGTCTCAAACTTGCTGTGATCCTTCTGCCTCAGCCTTCTGTGTGCTGGGATTACAGCTGTGTGCTATCACACCTGGCTATTTTTTCAAAATACCTTATTAGGTACAGTGAAACTTTTAAAGATCATTGATTCATTTATACCCCCACATAACTCTACAAAATATTTGAAGAGGCTTGCAAGGATATTTTCATTATTCTAGAAGTGTATGGTGGTGTACCTCTGTAATTTCAGCTACTCAGGAGGTTGAGGCAGGAGGATCCTGAATTTGAGTCCAGACTGGGCAATTTAGCCATACTCTGAGCAAAATTTTAAAAATGAACAAACAAGCAAACAAACAAAAATTGTAAAAAGATTGGGCATTGTAGCGCCGCACTACCTGAGTTAAATCCCGAGTAACAGGAAAAAAAAACCCTCATTCTAAATTTATAAAATATAAATACTTTAATAAGTATTAAAAAGTTAGTAAGTTCTAAGTTAGAGAGTTATTAGAAAAATTATATATGAATTTGGAGGGAAAATACTGTCAGAGTTTCTGGGGCTCTATCTCACTGGCACCCTGGGTGAAGGCAGTGCTTGGTCTCTTGCTGTTCACCACCATACACATTCTTTTCAATTCCGACTTCATGTCACCAGCTGCATGGCACCATCTCTACTGCTCTCCCCACTTGTGTATCTAGCATACATTTAAACTCATGTGACTGCCTCATCTTCCCGGCCTCCTCCACCCACTATATTTCTCATCTCCAGGGCAACCCCAGCCTGTGAATGCACAGGTCCCAAACTGAGGAGTTTTTCTTACCAGGCCCTCCCCGTGCCTCACCACGTCTTCCACTTGCCTCCCTGCCAGAGCTGCCTAATAAATGGCCTTGCTTTCTCCTGGAAAAGGAAAACAGGAGAGGATCCCCATTACCACAAGTCTCTTCTCACTGGGTTAGAAGCTGCTACCTCTTCCCACAGCAAGAAATTGCCTAGATTCTATTTGTCCTGCTGGGCTATTTACCAGTCATATCACAAATTTGAACCTAGCCCTATTTAGCAATGTAGTGAGAACCTTTCTTTAAAAAAAATAAAAAATAAAAATAAAGTTGAGGATTTGGAAGCTGTAATCTAGTTGGACATGAACCAAAATCTCATCCTGACCTTTCAAATTCTTGACAGTTTCCAGTACCTTTCTCCTACAACACTTAAAAATCTTGTGACTTTTTGAAAACTCTTATGTGATTTGGTGGTCTTTCTGTTAAAAGGAGGGAAATCATTTTCTTGGTGACCAAGGATACCCCTAGTGTTTTTCTTATTCTTTCCCCCTCCCAACAATTGTCCTCTTTAATACTCAATAAGTACTTTGAGATTGGATTTTTGGCTGCTCTGAGTTCATGATCTTTCCTAAACACCATTACTAAAGAAACTTGCCTTGGCCTGGCATGGTGGCACCTGCCTATAATCTGAGCACTGTGGGAAGCTGAAGCAGGACAATTACAATTTTGAGTCCCTCCTGGGAAAAGTATTTATTTAGTGAGACCCTATCTCAAAAAAATAAAAAAAGGTTGGGGATGTAGCTAAGTATGAAGGCCCTGGGTTACCCAGTGCTGGGGGGTGGGGGAAGAAGAAGGCAGTCTCACCCACACTGAGTTATGTTTAAAACTGCATGGTCTTGATAGTAATTAGCAGCCTCAGAAAGCCATTCAGGAGGAAAAAAAGACACTGAGCAATGTGTAGATGGATTTTTGTGTTTCTACCTCTCCCTGTAATTATTTAACTATAATTATAAAATATCCAGAGATAGGGCTGAGGTGAACCTCATTAGTAGAATACTGTCCAACATGTGCAAGGCCCTGATTCCACCCCTGGCACAGAAAAACAGCATGAAACAGGAGTATTCATTCAGTAAAGACAAGGACCAATGTGTTCAAGATGTAGATGGAGATTTTTTTAAATGACAAACAAAAGTAAGACATGAAGTTTTCCTTGTGGTGTTGGGGACCAAACCGACAGCCTTATGTGTTCCAGCAGGCACTCCACTAACTGAGTCCCAGCCCCAAGATACTGATTAATTGGAACATAAGACGGTGTTCTGGCTTGTGTTTAGATGTTCCCCCAAAGCAAATGAGGTGGGGCTATTTCAGGCTGAATCCAGAGTGTGTGATTCATAGTGTAATACAAGGCCCCAGAGCACTAGGATTAAGGGTTGAGTGCTACCCACCCTAAGTAGTCTGAAAAAGATAAAAGGGGCAGGAAGACGCTGCTAAGGTCCCTTGTTAATTTTGCTACTGTGTGGACACCTCCTGCTACACCATCCTGACTTGGAGCTAGCTGATTATGGACTGAAATCTCTAGAAACCGCAAGCCAATAAACCTTTCCCCCTTTAACTTTCAGTATTTTGTCTTAGCAATGAGGAAAGTAACTAACAGAGACAATGAAGCAAGAACTGCTGAGACAGGGATGAAGCAGGAGAGACGCCATTGTTCTGCTCTGTCTAATGTGAGTTCCCTAAGTGGAAAATCTAGACTGTCATTGCTGT